AGAAGGTAACAGTGTGGTGTTTCTTCTTAATGAAGGTTTCCCTTGGGTGTTTTCCTGGTGTTTCTTGGAGTATTTTTGTGAATTACCAAAAAAGGAAATTTTTGGAAATTTGTGGTGTTTCGGAAAAGAGTTTTTTTTATTTTAATTTGTTTTTATTATTATTATAAATAAATTAAATATACTATATATTACATATAACCAATAGAATATAACTTTTTATATATATACATTCTTTGTATATAAATATTCTAACTTATTTTCAAGAGATATATATATATAAAGTATAGATTATAAGTTCTTGTTTAAATATATAATTATATATAATATATACAATAATAAAAAAATTGATATTTATTAAAAAAAGAAGAAAAAATTAAAAAAAATTTTTTATATTAAATATTTATTATTAAATTAATAATAAAATTATTGTTTTTTTTTATTTCAATTAGTTATATTAATATTATATATTTATTAAATATTAAAAAAATCAAAGATTAAAGAGATATTGAAATTATTATATAAGTTTATCAAGTCTAGTGTTTCTGTTTATAATCAATTAAAATTTCTAAAGATAATTAAAAAAAGAGAAAAGTTTGTTTATTTAAGAAAAAGAATAGTATTAATTTTTTAATAAAAGTAAACTAATTTTGATTTTGTTAAAAAAATTTTGTATTTATTTATATATATATAAAAGGTATTAAATCAAAGATTTTTTTTATACAATTTTTATTAATATAATATTCAAGTCTTAAAGAATCTAATCAAGAGTTTTATCCTTATATAGCTTGAATTTTTTTAATCAAATTCTTAAAGTTAACTCATATACAGTATAATAAAACTTAAAATATAAAAAAAGTATTATCTTAATATTAATAAAAATAACTTTTTATTTTGAAAAAAAACCAGTTTTTTTTTTAGAAATATTAATTAATAGATCTGCTTTAGAAAAGAATTTTTGTTCTTAATAATAATAAAAAAAGAGAAAAAATTTCTTTTAAAAAAAATTTTATTTTATTTATTTTTATTTTTATTTTTAAATACCAGTTGAGCCTTGCTTTATTAACTTTTAAATATTTTATACATATCACATTTTTGTGTATTGTACATAGTTTACTATATGTAAATAAAGCTATATCTAAGAAACTTATATATCGGCTTGTTGCTGTCAGCTTGTCCAAAAATAGAGGCTTGAGTTAACATGTCAAGGCTTCATTAGCTTGTATATAATAGTTTTTTATTAAATAATTAAAGTTTGTGTTGTGTTCCTATTTGTTATTTTGTATTCTGTTGCTAATTAAGTACTCACAAATGTACTACATCTTTTATTGAAATATATACTTTCAATATAATTATAGTAATATTGAACTTTAATCATAAAGGTACTACTCTAACTCTATTGAAACTTTTTAAGGCAGTGTCACATATACTCAACAAGTATTATATATATATGTTTATAGTTAACTTATCTATATATGACTAGCTATATATCATTTAACTTAATGTTATATATAACTATTACCTAAACCTAAATAGCCAAACAGGAAAGACTATTCTGTTTTCAGAAAGATGCATGAATCTGTCTTAATTTTTCCCAGAACAATTTTATTAAGAATATTCTGATTATTAGGTCATCAATTACAGTATCCTGAACCCTGGTTTTCGGTCCTTCAGAGTGGTCCATGGTTTTCACCTCCCACCAAGGCCTCCCGATAGTAAAGTCTGTGAAACACCACACAGCCAAATGCTTGATTGGTATTCTTCAACACACCTGTTAGAAATCTCTTAGAGACACTCTACCAGTTTTGAATCTACTCTTCTTATTACCTTTTATAGCAATGTGATCGTGTTAGGGATAATTCTAATCAATTTCGGATATTTGATCGTATTACAATCCTTTTATAGACCAGTTTTGCTATAATTAGAAGCATCGGTTATTATATGGTTAGGCCGATGACATACAAGTTTCCATATGGTTTTTCGGGGAATCACATTAGCCCCCTAGTGAAATTGAACCTATAGCTTGTAATACAGACCTATGGTGCTCTAACTACTGAGCTATGGACCTATAGGTCTGCTCTTTTAAAAAAAATAACAACTTAACAAATTATTTCTTGTTATTTTATTAAAAAAAAATTTTTTTAAAAAATTGAAGAAAATAGAATAAAGTTTTTTTTTTAATAAAATATATTATATTTAATTATTGAATTGTTTATTAAATTAATATAAAAAGTATATAGCTTAATATTAAACTAAAAAATTTTTTTAAAAAACTTTCTATTAATATAAAAATTATAAAAAAATGATTTTAAAGTTTTTTTTTTTTTTTTTTTTTCAGGTAAAGAGCGCATATAGTACATGATCTTTATTGAGTGATTTATATCCAATTACATGACTACAAGGTCCATTTAAGTTAACCTGTACTCCCACCTATAGCCTTACCCAGTTATACCGATTTTAACCACCGCGAGGATAGATCCGTACACCGGATAGGATCTTTAGGAGGTAGAAATCCTACCACTAGTTTTAAACTACCTAACCTAATCTAGATCCTGGCAGTTGTCGTTTGGAGCGTGTACCTTTCAGGGTTGATTAGAACACCCGGATAACCCATTTAATACTTTTCGCCTGGTTTCTCGGAGAAGGTACTGTACTCTTTGTTACCACCTGCGGCTTCGGATTTCTCTTTTCATCGGGTCCTCTTCTTTTAAACAAGCGCCAGATTGGGATAGCCCCAGGCTAGAATGTTCTTTGTGCTATGGAGTCTGCCGTGCCAGGGGGATTTGTGAGCTTTTATTGGAGTTAGACCAGAAGCCTTTCCTCATGCAACCTTCTGTACTTCGACCTATTTTCAGCCCGCGATCGTCAGGAAGACCAGAGGTCCCATCTTCATGCAGCCTAACTAAATTTGATCAGGATTCAGATATTTGGAGTACGACATTTGTAGGAAAACCGGTAAACTCACAAATGAAGGAATATTATGCATTTTTGCCCCCTGTAGGTATTGAACTAGGGACATACATTTGGAGACCAGGGAGCACTATCCACTGTACTATTGACCCACTGGTCGATTTTAAAGTTTTATTAATTAAATATATATATAATTTATATAATTTTAATAATTGATTGTTATTATTTTTTGTAATAAAAGAAAAATTAAAAATTTTAATTTGCAATCTCTTTTTAATTATAATTTAATAAAATTTTTTTTATTATATTTAAAAAAAATTTTATATATTTTTATTTTTTATATTTTTGAATAAATAAATATATATATAGTTGTTTTAATTAATTAATTAATTATTAAATTTTATTAATAAAAATCAAATTTAATTTTAAATAGTTTTTTTTGTCCTATATTACTATATATATAGTTTGTTTAAAAAGTCTTTAAACAAATTTTTTAATTTAATTTATATTTATAATTTAATAATTACTTAATAAAATAAAATAAAAATTTGAATATATAATAATAATAATCTAAAAAACAAATTTACTTAATAAACTTTTATTAATATATTACAAACTATATATAAAATTAATGTAAAGAATATATAACTATTAATATATTTGAATTTTTTAAATATCTATAATTAAATATAATTATTTAATACTGTAAAAAACAATAAATTAATATATTAATTTTTAAAAAAATTAATATTAAAGATAAAAAATTAAAAAGTGAATATTAATTTAAAAAACAATTATATTTAATCAAATATATAAATAAAGAGTTTTATAAGCAATTAATTTAGTAAAAAAAGTTAATTGAGAATTTGAAAAAAAATTAATTAACTAAAATTGCAATCTTTAGATTTTATAAATATAAATTTGTATTTGAATCTATTTTAGTTTTAAAGATTATAAATTTGTATTGGCATATAAACTTGAATTCAAATTTTAACCTAAACTTAAATTTGAACCTATAATTATTTTATAATATAAAAATAAGATAAGCTTATTAAAATATTAAGGATTTTAATTCAAGAAAAAAAATAATTGAAATAATTGAAATAGTTAAAAGATTTCAAAACTGTGTTAAAATGAACAAGATCAAAAAAAAAACAAATGCCAAAATAAAGACTTCAAAAAAACTATGAAAAAGTACAATATTAAATATGAATTTATAATAAACCATAACATTAAACTATATTTATTATTTTGTTAAAATTGTATATTTATAATTATTTAAATTTAAATAGTATTACCGTAATAATATCTTGACAAGTTAATCATCTAATGAAATGTTTTGTTTAAACAAGACAAACAATAGATCATCTAATAAAATTATTGTTGTGTGTTTATTTATAAAAAGAAAAAATTTAATGGCAATTTCTCTCATAATTGAATTTTGAGCTTTTATTTTAATAAAGTTAAATAAGACAATGGCCTATTTTTATAAATAAATATATATTATATACGTATTACTAAAAAGTAACTGTTATTTAATTATTATAAATACAGTATAAGAAATTTTAATCAAATTATTTATTATCTTGTTTACTTTTGAATAATTTACAAAATCCAACAATGTCTACAAAGAAATCGACATATACTATATTTATATTTAAATAAAAACAATATGAAATAATATTGTTTCCGAATTCCGGAATTCTTCATCTTAAAAAATTATTTACATTCCGGAACTGCTAATTCATCGGATAATTCATAAACTATGTTGAGCCATCTATAAATTGAATCATATGTCTCGCCTTTTCTCGAATTTCCGGTGTAATCTTTATATTCGTGCATCGTATGTTTAGAACTTTCAGAGGTCTCTTTAATGTCTGAATAATAACATCCATATGTTTCTCGGAAAAACATTCGCAAAATTCAAACCCCAAATGTTCTAACGGCGCTTGGCAATTGGTGATAAAGTTTCCAAGTGTCGTCGAAGAAAATGACCACTTCATATTTGTCTTAAAATCGATCAAAGAACTCGGGAA